GGAGAGTTTGCAGTATTTATGATGGCTTTCTTGCTTGTATCGACATTCGGACTTTTAGTTATTCTCTATCTGAAAGGACATATCGATGGACTGGGACTGGGCTTATCATTAACAGCTAATTTGGTTTTTATTGGCACATTTATATTATACGGATATTTGTTTCATTGAAAAACATCAGCGTTTGATGGACAAATGACAATACATGGAATCACATGCGAATCGAGCACAACACGATGAAGTTATTTGTTTGCGTACTGTTTTAGAAAATAACTACGTGAGATATTTTAGGTTGAAAAGGTGAATTTTTAACTTTTTCAACTCTTGTATTTGTTAAAATCAAATAACTTTCAAGTGTCTTCTACCATATGTGTCGCTGTAAAATATCGTATAATATGATCAGAATTTTGATTTAATCTAAGCTAACTGTCTAATCGTTCGCTTATGCGTTGCAACTAACAAATGATGAACTAATTTTATTACAGCCCCAAAACCATGATTTATACGTTGTATTCGTAAACTTTGTATAGTCTGCTGTAGAGATGTGCAACCCGACCCGTACCGGTAATCGATCCGATCCAAAGGTTGAGTACGGGTACGAAGTTGTCGGTTACGGATAGCGCAGTTAGGCATATGGTTTCCATTTTTTTTATTTATATGAAAACTGAACGATTCCAGTGGAAAACCACAAAATTTTAGCTAAAATATATGAACTTTTAAAAAACAGTTACTTGAGAACGTAATGATAATTTGCCATCTCCAGCCGAAAAACAAAAATTTTTAGCTGGAAAACGAAAAGGGGAAAATTTTTAGACATAAGTCGGTTACGGGTACAAAGTTCACCGATCGGGGCAGGTACGGATGGAAAAAAATTTTCGGGTAGGTTACGGGTACGAAAACGGTACCCGTGCACATCTCTAGTCTGCTGCATGAGTCTTCTACTGCCATTTTCATCCTTTATAATGGTATGAGATGGAACGAGTAATATTTTGAGAAATAATAGCAATTGGTATGTATCACACATATATCCTGTATTACCTCTGTCCACTTTAACATATTTGTTGTCTAAGTCAAGCAGGCACAGTGTGCACCCAGGCGGACATTTAAAAATAATTGAAAGTGCTCTTTTCTCAAATTCAAATGATGGAGAATACACTTCGTTATATGAGTTATTTAATGACATAATATCTTTGTTCCAAGTGCTAGAAAACTTAGCCAAAAATTAGCCCGAAAAGATAGGAGCAAAAAGTCAAAGATTTTTTGCTTTGGAATCAAACGGAAATAAACATGAAAACAATACCGATTGTGAATTTAGATACCTTCGGCTACCGATTCGCGAAGGAATTTCTCTATTTGGGCTCAATATCTTGGAGAAAAAAAGAGTTTGCCAAACTAACGTGTTTTCCATACAGATGTTTTCTCTACAGCTAGATTTCGAACGTATTGCTCCATACGCGCTACTCTTCCACACATATAGTCAATGAAAAAAAAGTTTGATTTTACCGTTTTGTAGAGGATAGTTTGAAATACATATGGTACAAGCGATATAATTCTACCTATGAGAAGATTTATAATTTCAATATAAATGTGAGTGTAACAGTAGCTGGTTTGAAATTCATTTCCAGTTTGTAAATGACATACTATATAAAATTATTACCCCTCGACAAGTTAACTATTTCTTGAAAATACTTCCTGCGGGCAAAATTTGGTTCAAGATGTTTTAAAAATACTCTTCCAAAGAGCAGGCCAAAGCGGAATAGCTCAATCAAAGCTTGACCGAATTTTTTTATAGATACATCTTGATGACATCAAAATCGAAGTTATAAGTAGAAATCTGAAGATTTTATTAAAACATTAAAAATACGGCAAAAAATCGAGGTAAAATATAATAGTTTCCTTAAAAGCGACAAGTCCGGTGAGTGAAAACATTTTACCATATGTATTTCAAACTGTCCTCTACAAAACGATGAAAAGAACCGAGTGACAAGACCGTTAAAAACCGAACTTTTTTGAAACCATTGAAATATGTGTGGTGGAGAATAGCGTATGCACTATGTGCGAAGTCTAGCCGTAGAGAAAATAATCAATTGTTTTATTAATTAAATGGAAAAAGGTTTCCGCTCTAAGGGTTCCTCTGAAGTAGAAGAAAGCTGATTGAGTTAAAGAACACTAATACAATAAGAATATAGGCGATCACTTAATAACCAAAAAGTAAGTGTTTTTTCCAATTAGATGAAATACTTCGAAAGGTCGATATAATCTCTTCTCATAGGTAGAATTGTGTCGCTTACATTAGAAAGAGGAGGAAATTTATTCTGGAAAATAGGCTAAAACCGATAAATATGAATAAGTTGGATTGTTTATACATTAGAAGAGATTTTATCAACAAATGTTGACTTCTTTTCCTACTTTGTAAACCGAAATAGTTTCTACTTTAATCTTAAACGTTGAAAGAGAATCAAATTATTTCTCACACTAAAATAGTTTCTGAACTCGCTTCTGTAGTATAATGAGTGCGTGAAGTTTAGTGGGACCTAAACGTACATCTATTCTTCCATTCCTAACCAATCTAAATGTTATCATGCAGTCGTATTCTGGTCTTATTATTGATTTTTAACGTAAAATCCTAGTTAATCAATCTTCAAAAGAGTATTTTCAATCAAAACAAATATCATATTCGAGATCAGCTCACCGAACTGATTTCGAATCTGAAGAAAAGTTCATGCCTATCCACTAAATCCAAATTTCTACAGTGACTACTACAAATGGAACAGACCCATCGTGGCAATCCTGTGTACAAAGTAGCGTTCATCATTAAAAATTTACCACAACTACGAGGGAGTCTTCAGTCTGTTTTACGAGCTGTGAATTTTCATCTAAAACTAAATAAATAGCCACAGTAGTGAATCTACATTCGAGTCGTCTTAATCAACAGCTATCTAATAAGATTTATTGAGATTTGAATTTGTTAAAAGGCTAGTACATCAATATCTTTAAAAGTCATACACGCCAGCTATGTTACGGTTCGGAATTATAACACGAAGACAAACATCTATTCGTCAGCTGACTTAGTGCTGTTAAAATATCAACCTTAGAAAACATTTATACATAGTTTATCAACTATGCTATAAGTCTCGTAACACTATCCTTCCAAAAACTTAATCTAAGAACAGCGATTTCTTAGTAAAATTAAGATTTTTCTCAGTTATAATGAGAAAATTCATAACTCTGTCAAAATCACCGTAAATCACCCTAAAACTTATCAATATACTTTGACTTTATTTAGAATTGAAATTGAGCAGACCTGTATGAAAACAAAGAGGATATGAAAACAGACTTCTCACTGAAATTGTTAAAAACTGAAAATAAATAAGTCAAAGAGCAATCGTGCAAATTTCTCTACCTGATCATTAGTCAAAATTGATCAAATTCTACCAGAAGCCGAATCAACAATGGAACCTGTCTTATTAAATTTTAAATTTTTTTATATTTCTGTGCTTAACTGCAACTGGCTATTTTCAAGATGAGATTAGGCATGCACCGGTTATATCATAGTGAATTTATGCACTTTTTTACAAAAAGTATTTTCAATGAAAACTGATTCTTTAACATTTTTCTACAAGATGAGCTATCTTGGATCTAGCACTTATACAAAAAAGATTTCTTAAAAAAGTCCCATGATCGATTATAGCAGATTTAGAGCTCTTCATCGAAAAGCGATTGTAGCTGCAATAGAAAACTTGGAGACTTCCATCATACCTTATCTTGTAGAAAAAGTGTTTGCCCTACGCAACCCAGTTATTAGAAAAATTTGAATATGCATACTTTTCATGCAATCCATTGCAGAAAAAATGTGAAATTTATCTGTTATAACCGATGCATGTTTTAGATGAGATATATATCTTAGAATCTTGTATCAACTAAAATAATAGCTACGCCTTATTTTCATTTCATTTATACCTTTCTCATATTTTCTGTAATTTCGCTAAATTTTTGTTCAATATATCATGAACAGACCATTTGATTGAAGTAGATCAACTAATCGATAAAAATTATGATCTTATTTTCGAGAAAATATGATTCGTCTGAGAATCGAAGTTAGAGCATGTGTTTGCACTGACCTGACAAAGCGCAACTTTTCTGTTTTGATTATGTTTTTTTAAGGATGTTGTTTTTCTTCACAAAATGTCATACGTAAACATTTTACTTTACTTTTTAAAAATAAAAAGTTAAACGATAAATTTTTTTTTGTTGCAGCTAATTCATTTTTTATAGTAAATAAACGATTTTATCAAAAAAAGTCGCAAAGTGAGATATATAGTGATCCTGAAAGGAGAGAAGAAGAAAAATCGTTTAAAAAAATTGAGTGGTAAGAAATAAAAAAAATCATAAGACTTCTTTTAGTGTATTATCAATCGTTTTTCGGTACTTAGCTTTTCTCTCTCACTCTTTCTCTCTCTCCCCCCGTTCTCTTTGTCTTTTTAGTTTTGAAAAATATTTTTTTATTATTAATTGCTCTTTTCTTTGTCCGCAATGATGCTACTGTTGCCAACAAACATAGAAAAAATTGATCGTCATGTAATGTATGTCACACATCTACACATCCAATGATAGTTACCAAATCTGCTGATTGAAATATAATCTTCCTAATACTTATTTTCTTATTCGATACTAACATTTCAATTATGCTAAATGTTGAAGATATATATACGTGAAAAAAAAAGACATTCTTTATTCAAGAAATAATTTAAAGTATGTACAACAATTAATTGAATCAATGTATCACACAAACTCTTGGACTGACTTATTATCGTCAAACTCGTATCTTTCGTCTCTGACGACCGCTACAAAAGATTCTAGAAGACTTTATCCGATATTTTCCTATTGAAAAATACGTAACAATAATTTAATCTAAAGATTATCCAATTCTTAACAGTCAGTTTATCTATTTTGAGATATTTTAAGAACGTCATAAATTCGATTCACTTCTTTATTCTTTAGACATGCCTCATTACGGACATCATATTATAGATCGAGAAACTGGTCTTTGTGAAATATGTGATCGTGCGGCCATCTATGACATTAAATTGGGAAAAAAACCGCAGTTGTTATATGGAGATTCTAACGGACGATTTGTATCTAGATCTAATGATAATCAATCAAGAGTATGTAAAGACTGTGCTCTAACTATTTTATTTTTAATAATATCTTCTCATTATTAGCGTGCAACTCCAGAACCAGATGAAGAAGAACCTATTGTTTATCCCACACCTCGACATATGAAACGAGTAGTCTACGTTGATAAACCATCTCCTCGTAGAGCGCAAACGAGACTTGTACATGAGAATGAACCACGATTAGTTATGGCACAACCAGCTATTCGACGATATCGTCGTGCTCCAACACCCGAAGAATATTATTATGTCGACGATACCGGACATATTCAAGATCATGTTGAACCTCCACCACGTCCAAAACCAAAACAGTATTTGGTTCAACCAACACCACATACTAGAATCATTCGACGACAACGTCAACCATCCCCTAAAATTATCCAAAGACGACAACATCAGCTATCACCTTATAGTGACAGTGAGCTAGTTTATGATCGCTATAAGCCACCACCACCTAAACATAATAATAGCGATTATACACCACCAAAAGATCATAATGGCTATCATCAAACACCTTCACCACATAGGCAACAGCATCATAGTGCCGATGAAGCACATCCAGAATTTTATCATATTGTTCGTCAGCCAAGAAATGATGATTATGCATCACCACGAGCTTTACAACAATTAACTCACCATTCTACACCATCTCCAAGATATGTCAATGGAAACAACAACAGAAAACTTGAACCTTTACCTGTAATTAATAAACGTCCTACTGATGACATAGTTCAACCAACCATTGTGCGACGAGTTTATAAAAAAATACCGGACAAACAAATGAACGGTACTAGGAATCATCAACAGCCGCATCAACCACCCAACTATGAACAACAGCCACCTTACATGCAAAGTCCATATGATTACAATCGGCCAGTAAGAAAAGTAGAAAAATTACAATCAATAGAACATCAACCATACCAACAGTCACCAGAAACTAGTAGATATAAAAAGCCACCCATGATGTTAGCCAATCAACCAAAAGCACCTAGCATCTATTACATTCGTGGAGAACAATAATTCAGTATTTTTTCTACCATTTTGTTGACATTTGTTTTACATTTTATGTTCGATGAAAGTATCACTGCTAAGTTTTTAGCCACCAACTATCAAAGACATGTTAATAAAACTGTACGCACATTTCTCTTTGAATATCTTTTCATATTAGACGATAATTGAGAGAATGATAGCTATGTGTGCAATATCTAATCGTGTATTTTATAAGTAAACCGTTTTTCAATACATTTAACCATGTATTTGTATTTTATTATCACGATTTTCTATTTTTACACACACACATAGAAATTATATAAAGTTTCTATAATTAAAACAACAAATACAATAGAATACAGATTTAGACTAAAATTTGACTCTCCATCTAAATATAACAATAATGTCTCATAGTATTATTTGTCAAATAAAGTATACTAATGTTCATTATTGGACGTTGACTTCTTGATGGTGGTAATTGATCAAAATTTGTCGAATTGTGTTATCTCAGATGTTTCGAGACACTGTTAGTTCAATTTTTTAGACGATTGTATTTTGGCTTTATTGAAGTAGCTGGTAATCAGTAATCATCTTAAATGTACCTCATTCATCTTACAATATTTTACGTAGTCTATGATGTCCTTTTCGAGATGAATAATTTCATGTTCGAGATAGTGTACATAATTCGATATCTTTCTCTATTCATCAGTTAGTTCTGCTATCGTATGCGTTTGAAATGAACTTTGTGTAGACCGTTTTCATTGAAAAATTCGACTACTAAGAAATGTATAAAACAGAATCATTTGTACACTATCAGCGGGTACCTCTTCTTAAAACTATTTTTCGTTTTTTCTCGGCAAAGATATATTTTTATCAAAACATTTTCTATTTTTTTTTTCAGCAAAAATAACCTTTAAAAATTGATGTTCCATCTCACTTTTTTAATTGTGATCCGCCCATGAACAGAATGCGTATTCATTCAGATCAAAAGTGGTCACAGAATGTGAAAAATGCAGAAAAATATACTATTGTACTAATATTCTTCATTCAAAGTTTATGTCAATATGGAAATTGATGCCAACTTCTCTGAATATCTCGTTAATTCATTATAACTTTTAGAATACTATCGAGAATTAAATTAAATACAAAAAAAAAAAGAATAGTAAATTACAAAATAAATATGAAAACAACGTTATTTATTTTTAATTTAATTTGTCCATAATTTCTAAAATTTCTGATAATATACCTTGATTAATTCTTGGCATATTGGCTAATGCCGCATCCGCTTTCTCTTTTGCTTCACTTTTTGTTAAATCGCCTCTCATTAATAGTACATTAATTACAAATTCCATATTTAAACTTGGATATTTTTTGGCCAATGTTGCCACATCAAGTACAATTGAATCTAAATCGGTTTGTTGTAAAATTTCAGCAAAATGTTCTAACATATTAAAATGATATTCTTCTTTTCGATCTTGTTCACTACTTCCATCCCATTGAATAAATTCTCGTTGTAATTTTTGTGCTTCTAATTTCATTTGTTCAGCACATGCACGTCTTTCTTGAGGATTTTGAAATTTAATCTGTTGTGATGATTGTGGTTTCAAAAGATTTTTTAGATAATAGGCAAGAATATGTTTATGCCATGTATAGAAGAGATATTGTAGTAGTGGTTTTTTCAAACCGGTCAATTCTGTATCCCAATAATCTCGGGTAGTTTCAATAAGTATACCACAAAATTGATTTTGTCCACCAAACCACTCACGAGTTAATAATAATTTTAAATATTTGGTACAATCAAGTTCAATTTCACGTAATATAATATCGCAACATACTTCAGCTGTATGTTCAAATTTTTTACCTAAAAATAACAATAAAAAATAAGTAATTATTAATTTTTATACGATATCTTACCAATTTCTTTGTATCTATCTGTTTTAAAATCTTGATCAATATCAATTTTATCATATTTATCACGAATTAATAACATTAATAGTGGTAATGATTCACAATTATTTGCATTAGCTACCATTTGTTTTGTAAAATGTTCTTTAAATTTTGATCGATCTAGAAAATATTTTCGTGAATAATCATTTAATTCTCTAACATAATGTTCATGAAATTCTTGTGTTTTTATTATAATTATTGATAAAATTTGTTCAACAACATCATCAGACATATTTTTAGCCATATCAAGTGTTTCAATAATCATATTTATTAACATACGAGGCATTGTAGTCGAATAATAATGTTCTTGGGTTAATTCAACCTCTTTACATGCATACCAATCCTACACATAAACAAATAGAAACAGTTAAATTGAATATACAAAAATAGAATAACATATTTGTAAAAAGAATGAATTAAAAAACGTGAATTTTACACCCACCTTCACTTCTGAATTGATAATATTTGGCAGCCATTCTGAAAATTTTTGCTTTCTTTCATTAATAAATACATTTGTCACAGTTGCTAACATATCTTTTTCTAACAATGGTGATAATTGTGAAAGGTCTAATTTCAGATCAGGATTACCCAAACATTCAATTCCTCTACAATTATGTAAAAGAAAATTATTTCTAAAACAATCTGATATAGATTACATTCTTATTTACTTATATTCTCTGGCAAATGTAACAATTGTATATACTTCGGGTATTGTTAATGTATCATTTTCTGTACGACGTTTTGGATCGCATATTTCAGTTAACTAAGAAAAATATGATTATGAGAATTGATTAGATATATATTTAATTAATAAACTCACATGTTCTTTTAACAGTGTATGATAATAATCTAAAAATCGATTGACAATATCGTAATGTTTAGGAAAACAACGTGTACAACTTTTCTAAGAAGTAAAAATAAACAATATATAATTGAAGAATCAGTACAAAAATGTACTTACTGTAATGATTTGAAAATCTTGTAAAAATATTCGTCGACACATTTCCAAATGTCGAGTTAGCCAATACTTATGTTCTTCACGTGTATCTAATTGATTACCTTCGATTCTAAAATATGAAATATCCATGTTAAACTAAGATACTATCCTATTCAAAATATAGTGTAAGCAGATATTTTTGAATAAAAATATTTAGTTAAAAACAGATGGAGATTTGTGGCTTTTGATGTTCGATAGATGACACTTTATAGTTCTTAATGTACATCGTCATGCAAAATCGACGAGTCGCCAGAACACGCCAAAAGAACGGCGTGTTTTAAATGTCTGTAGGTTGGTTGAAACACGTTTACATTTCTACATAAGTTCAAATCTTCGTCTACTATGTTTCAGGCATACCAGAAATCCTCGTGTCTCCCACACTTTAGATCGAAAGAATCTTCGACATAAATGAAAGCATAGTTTATCGCTTCCACTGATTTCAATTGCAGTGTTTGCTTTCAGATCAAAGTTCAATAACCTCGTCAAATCTAGGGTGCTAGATGACATAATATAGTTCTGGCTAATTTTGTTGAAAAAAATTAGACAAGTAATCAATCATTCAGTCTTAGCCACTTACCTATCTTTGACACTTTTTCGTAATAATTCAAAACAATTTTTTTTCCATTGTCTCGGTCTATCGGGTGGGATGAAACCAGTTGTTTCTTTCTTTTCAATCCAAAATCGATCGACTCTGAAAAAAAATAAGCAAAAACAAGTAGATTTCATTCGTACAGTGTTTATAAAATGTCGACATGAACTGTATAATAGTACAGGTATTATTAAATTGTCGAATGCACATTCTCATTCTCAGTTAAGATTTCCTTACATGTCAGACGAATATATACGATCTATAAGAAAAATCAATGTTTTTAATCTCAGTAATTCGAGAATAAAACAATAATCTTAAACAACGTTTAAGTAAACAAGTTTTTAGCGACTTTGTTATTAAATCTAAATATCGGGTGCGTCATAATGGATGAGCCTCTCAATATTTTCTATCTATCTCGTGTTCCTTTACGGTCCTAAGATTAGTGCTTTTTTTTAAAAGATGCGTCACGAAATACTCTACAAAACTATATCTAAACTTTAATTTCAGAACTTCAATCACGAAAATTACGTAAATTATACGAAAGTCGAAAACACATGAAAATTTTGTAAATTTGGTATCCTTTTCGAGTTGAACTTTTTTCTTCTGCTATTATTTTCGTAAAAAAGTGTAACAAAAGTGAGAACTCAGTTCTTTGTGTGTTTTGAATAGTGCTCTTTCTCGTGGTCTGTAAAAAAAGCTTTTTTAGCGCAGATAGTGTGCTGAAGAATGAAGTTTCAAAAATTGACAGTTTTCTTTTTCTAAAAGTATCACTATACTCTGAATTTAAAAACTTAATGAAAAAATGCGTGACAACCGACAGAAAAATTATTAGTTCTCCATGGGTTTTTATGTGAAAAAATGCGAAGCGTAACTAAAATAATTTTGTTTTTGTACAGGCAAAATTTTGAGTAAAAATATGATACAATTTACAGCAGTTTTAGGCCTAGTCATTCTAATTTATTATTATACACAATGTGACGTTTCGAAATGTACACATTTCATCATCAGACAATGAGATACGAAGTTTACTATACAGAAAATTTGATGTAACTGAAGAGAAAGTCAAAATACGCACAACATATATATTTGTCTTTCCTGTACTTCTAGAACAAGACACAAAGCACTAGCACTAGCATGACTGTAAACAGTTGAATATTACTATATTCACTATATAACTAGCGTAGCTAAAAGATGGATCGAAGTCAAGGCTACATAATGGCTGATTCAGGTTTTCTTACTTTCAAAAAGTTAACACAGGAAATTGTTTTTGAGTTTACAAAATTTTCGTGTGTTTTCGACTTTCGTATAATCTACGTAATTTTCGTGATTGGAATTCTGAAATTAAAGTTCAGGTCTGATTTTGTAGAGTATTTCGTGACGCATCTTTTAAAAAAAGCACTAATCTTAGGATCTTAAAGGAACACAAGAAAAATAGAAAATACTAAGAGGCTCATTCATTATGACGCATCCGATAGTTTTCATTTAACGAAGATGGAAGAAATCTCTTGTCATTTTCTAAAAGATAAAGTGTAAAAACCATACATACTGTTCTTCTCTTTCGATAATTCTTAATGCTGTTACTAATTTCTCTGGACAACTAATCGCACAATCGTACCATCTTGATATACGCAATGATATTAAACTTTTCAATTGTGATACTAGACGATCAACGTCTTGAAAATAACTTGTTAATAACTAAAAATAGATCCCGAGATATTATATTTGTTTTTTGGATGTAATATCATAGGTACGATGATTAGTGTTGAATAGTTTACTGATCAAGTGTAAAAAACAAGTCTATTTTCATTACTCGTTTCACATAGTATTTATTGAAAGAGAAAAATAATGTTTACGTTTGAGATTAGAATATTTATTGAGTAATTTTTATATGTTTACCTGCATATCATCATTATCTTTTTCTTGTACTTTATATAATTCAAAAAGTAAATAATTTCTTGAATTTTCAATATCCATAATTAGATTGTGTGCATGTAACAACTTCTCACTTGACATAAATTCATCTGCTTTTCTGACATTCTCCGGCGTATTTATTATATAATCTAAATTTGCACGAGCTAATGATAGTTGTCTGTAAAACAAAAAGCAAAAGATAAAGGAAATCTTATAGAGAACAGTAGAACAAACCTATAAGTATTTGCTTCTGCTCTTAAATCTTCTAATTTTGATTGTAATGGTACAACTTTTTGTAATTTTTCATCGGTATCTTTCATATATCGATCTACCGCTTTCATATTATCTAAAGATATTTGTAATTGTTCAATACCAGTTTTGATACTTTCTAATTGAGATTGAACAGCTGTACGTAACTGTTCATCTAAGGTACGCTAAAACATAGAAATACATAAACATCATGAGGAATGAGAAAGCAATTGATGTAATATTACTTTTCGCTGTGCTGCTGCTGTTTTTAATTGATCTAATTTTTCTAAATTTTCTGGTTTTTCTAATTTAGCTTGAATTATTTTTAATGCATTCATTTCAGCTTCACGACGCATATCATCAAGCAAATGACTTTCACTCGATGTTGTAGATGGAGAAGACATTACTCCTAAGTCAATCATGTTTTGCTTCCAACAGAAAATATAAATAGACAAATAAAAAATATAAAATTTCACAGATTTAACGTGAACGTGTGTAACTCATTTTATTTACTAAAATTCCTAAAAACTAAAATTCAATGTAATGCCGGTCTATTGCATATAAAGGTAAAATTTTATGCTGCCCTCGAGTTATGGGACGTAATTTAGTGCTCAGGACGTCAAAAACGGTGTAGTTAATTGTCTATTACACTCATTAATAACCCATGCAATGTTTGTTAAATGGACATTTTTAGACCACTTTTAAGCATTTAAACTGGGCACGTTTTAATGCCTAAAAGTGACAGTTTTATTACGACCAAAAACTGAGCAGTTTATAATGTTCGTTTTAAAGCCGTTAAATCTATTGTTCGAAACATTTTTTAAAGTCAGTTTTTTTCTCACTAGTATTCTCACAAAGAAATTGAAAGTTCCGTTATCAGAATGATATAATAGGAATTTATATTCTCGATTTCGTTCTGGTTCAAGATCATAAAATTAAACCAACCACACAAAGACTAAATTCATAAATTTCAATAGTTGTTGGTTCCTTAGGACCATGGTACCGTCACTTGTATCAGTCCAAGGACTAAAGGCTACCTCCTTGTGACAAGTTCAGTGTTCAAAATCGAGTTTTTTCTAGGCCAGTGTTATTAATCACTCACAGAACAGAAGTCCTTTTCGTTTACGGATAAGTCATTTATGTCTTTCATAAAATATAATAAACAGAAAGAGGAAACACACAGTAGGGTGTCTCAGATGATTTTTTAATTTGGGATCCTGTCACGATTAAAAATTTCTTATGGCTCACTCGCTCAAAAGAACTAAAGTGCAAATATCAGTGCAGGTTATCTCAGAAATTTGAGTAATCAGTAGACGAGAGTTTGTGACTCGCTTCTGCAATGTTTTTCGGATACAGCTATCAATTTCGATTAATTTTGCTCACTAGCCATTCTGAAATGATGACCAAATACCCGATAAGTTGATAATTTCTTTAACTATTACAATAGAGGTTGAATGCAGAATATCTATTGGTTCTCTTCTTTCAATCACTACTGTTGGAGAGATTAGTTCCCTTTCAGAGAATCATATTTGTTGAAAGCATAGTTTAAATAACTTTTTATCCAATCGACTACAAAAATCGGAGTCATTGTATATAGTGTCGAGAAGTTTTTTGTGTTTATTTGAAAACCCTGCTTTTCAGTCAATTTCAGCATCTTTTAATGTTCAAGTTATATATTTCATATTTCTGCCAGAATGTGCTGGAAAGTTCAAGATTGTTATTGTAGTACATACAAGCAACTTCTTGAATAAGAAATACATCACTTTTATACAGACGCTAGAAGACAATATCGTTTAGAACCCTTTGGTTGTTTATTCTCAGTACGGAGGTACTTGTTGAGATTCTTGCAAAATTTCTGTTTTACTTTTCTGTTGCTTTGTGAGAGGTTCTTGACCGTAGTGGCAGCCAACAAGAATATCAACAGGAAAGTAAACCATTGTTATTATGATTTCTACTCTCAATGCCGTATATAAACTTTTTTATAATAATCTACTGCGGTTTTCTAAAACATTAGTGATGACAGAGGAATCAATTTAGTCTGATATTTTATTACAGATTTGCGCATCAAAATGGTTTATACTCCGGAAGAGTTTACTGAACTTAGTAACAAATCGATAAGGTAAGTTTGTTTCTCTTTCTTAATACTTGTTTATCATGTCTCTTTGTGTCTCGTGATTTTAGTGGTGCAGCATCATTTGCTACTGAAAACAAAAATATTGAAATTGTTCCCCTTCATTTGGCTCATGTTTTGGTCGATGATGAAACCGGTCTGGCTGTCCAGTTGATTAAAAAGGCCGAATTTAACGTCCAAGAAGTAAAAGAAGCCATAGAACTAAAACTGAAAAAATTACCACGTCAAGATCCTCCTCCATCAAAAATATACCCAAATTCATCTTTCTTAAATGTTCTTAAACATGCCAATAAATTATCAAAACAACAAAAAGATAGTCATACGGCTATTGATCATTTATTATTGGCACTCTATGAGGATTCAGATGCAACGTCAGCATTTGCATCAGTAGGATTGAGTAAGAAGAGAATGGAAGAAGTTATCAAACAAATGAGAGGCACGAAACATGTTACATCGGCGAAAGCAGAAACAGTAAGTTGTCAATTATAGTGATTTTTCAATATTATGTATGCTTGATTTTCTTTGTTATAGACTTATCAAGCATTAGAAAAATATGGTCATGATTTAGTAAAAGATGCTGAAGCTGGAAAGCTTGATCCAGTTATCGGACGAGATCAAGAGATACGTCGTTGTATTCAAGTATTATCGAGACGAACAAAAAATAATCCTGTTCTCATTGGTGAACCGGTACGTTTGATAAAAAACAATAAATGCCACCTTAGGTCTAGATTAATAGTATTTTTAATGAGAGCGATTTTTAACTATTTCTATCTCATTATGTATAACTTCTATTGTTTCCATTTAGGGCGTTGGTAAAACGGCTATTGTTGAGGGTGAGCAAGCAAATATTTCATTACTCAATTATTGGTGACAATTTACTGTCTGATGTTGTAGGATTAGCGCAACGTATTGTTCTTCAAGATGTTCCAGAAACATTACCAAAGCGTTTGATCGCTTTGGATATGGGTGCACTAGTAGCGGGTGCTTCGTATCGAGGTGAATTTGAAGAACGTTTAAAATCTGTATTAAAAGAAATTCAAGAATCAAATGGTGGAATTATATTGTTTATTGATGAAATTCATTTGGTACTTGGAGCGGGAAAAACAGACGGTAAATACACAAATAATTATCTTCTAAAGTGTATAGTATAGTTTTTTCTCTCTGTTTGTAGGTGCTATGGATGCCGCTAATTTACTGAAACCGATGTTAGCTCGTGGTGAATTACGTTGTATCGGTGCAACAACATTAGATGAATATCGCAAATATATCGAAAAAGATCCAGCATTTGAACGTCGATTTCAACAAGTTTTAGTTAAAGAGCCATCAGTTGCTGATTGTGTCTCGATTTTACGCGGTTTAAAAGATCGTTATGAATCTCATTTTGGTGTACGCATACTAGATTCAGCGTTAGTCATTGCCGCTCAACTATCAAATCGTTACATAACGAATCGATTTTTACCAGATAAAGCCATTGATTTGATTGATGAAGCGTGTGCAAGTATTCGTGTACAATTAGATAGTCAACCGGAAGTGATTGATCAGTTAGGTAAGGAATGTATGTCCTCATATACACATCTATATTTTCTATTAAATAATGGTTTATATTTTCTTGGTTTTTAGAGCGTCGTGAATTGCAACTGGATGTTGAAGCAACCGCTTTATCTCAAGAAAAAGATGAGGCATCGAAACAGCGTTTAAAACAAGTTAAAGAAGAATTAAGTAAAATTCGTGAAGAATTAAAACCCTTAAAATTACGTCATAAAGCCGGTAGGCACAGGAGAAATTATTGTTTTTTTGGGGAAAACTTTATTTAGTCATTTTATTTTTAGAAAAAGAACGTGTGGAAGAATTACGAAAATTGAAACAAAAACTAGATAGTCTTCAAATAAAAATGTCTCAGGCTGAGCGAGAAAAAAATTTGTCATTAGTTGCCGATATTAAATATGGTGCGATACCTGATTTGGAAAAACAAATAGTAGCCACAGAACATCGCATTACAGAAGAAAATAAACAAAATCAAGATAGATTACTGACGGAAACTGTTGGACCAAGTGCTATTGCTGAAATAGGTAAATATTTAAAGGGCTTTTTTGTCTGTATGTGTGCATGTGTGTGTGTGTGTGTGTTTGTTTTAGTAAGCCGTTGGACGGGTATTCCAGTAACAAAATTATCTCAAACAGAACGTGATCGTCTATTAAAACTGAGTGAACAATTGCATAAAAAAGTTGTTGGACAAAACGAAGCTGTTGATTCAGTGGCCGAAGCTGTTTTACGTAGTCGAGCGGGTTTAGCAAGACAGAATCAACCGATTGGATCATTTTTATTTTTAGGTAAGCAAAATAAAGAGTAAATATTAAATAGTGATTCAAATTGTGTCTACTATTTTTCAGGTCCAACTGGTGTGGGTAAAACGGAATTAGCTAAAGCCTTGGCATCTGAATTATTTGATTCAACAAAATCGATGATTCGTATTGATATGTCGGAGTATACCGAATCTCATAGTGTGGCACGACTCATCGGTGCTCCACCGGGCTATGTAGGATTTGAAGCCGGTGGTCAATTAACAGAAGCCGTAAGACGTCAACCATATGCTGTTGTCCTGTTTGATGAAGTGGAAAAAGCACATTTACAAATATGGAATACATTGTTGCAAGTTTTGGACGATGGACGATTAACAGATGGAAAAGGTATGCGAACGAGGTAAATGAAAACTGAATGTCACATTTCTTTGGTTTAATAGGTCGAACCGTTGATTTTACAAATACAATTATTATTTTGACATCGAATATTGGAGCACAACATATTTTGGAAGACGTTGAAACAACCAGTTCATCATTAACACAACAAACAAAAGATAAAGTCATGAGAGAAGTAAGTAAATCACATTACGTTTAGAAAACAAATCTTCTGAATATTTTCATTCTATTAGGTTCGTCACCATTTTCGTCCAGAATTTTTAAATCGTCTTGATGATTTAGTTTTCTTTGAACCATTAACATTTTCTCAATTGAGCAATATTATTTTACTTCAGTTAACATCATTACAAGATCGTTTGCAAGATCAAGATATCACATTGTCATTATCGGATAAAGCAATTCAATTAGCTTTAAAACAATCATATAACCCAGTTTATGGTGCACGTCCTTTAAAACGTTATCTAGAAAAACATATTACCACCGAATTATCAAAATTATTAATACAGTCAAAACTTACCCCGCACTCACACGTTTCAATTAATTGTGATTCAAATGATAAATTTACATTTCAAATGCAACAAACAGCACCGAGAAAGACTCCACAGACTTCTAGTAGACCGGAATATTCAAGACGCCGAACGTATGAAGGATTGGGTAAAAGATAAAAGAAAAAACATTATTGTTGATTTTATACTATTCTATTTTAGATGAAGAACCATTAATGGATGTTGACGGTGAGGATGATTATAGTCAAAATGGTGGTGATATGGAATTTCAATCGAGCAACAATATGCCAACAAAACGACCGAAACAATCACCAATTAAAAAGTGATGAAAACAAAAGTGATCTACTCAGTTTAGGAATGCAAACTTTTTTTTCTTTTTATTCTTGCGAAAATGTATATTATGTAATCTCGGTCGGTTTGTAAATTTTTTTGTGTATTCGAATGTTAGTAGTCCTTTTTTTGATTTGTAACAACAAGGCAACTGTTGCGTTCATAAGTGAGTGATATATTCGAGTTTTTTTCTTTTTTTTTTGTATTTTAAATGTTGTATCGTGCCCTCTTTTACTGTTGAATTTTTGTACGATAAAAAAAGCCCGTCTAAATTTTATTTTATATGTTTTATTCAAGCAGTGCTTGCACTAATCTCTTATGGTGTTTGCCTTTTTTTTTGGTTTGTAACAACAAAGCAACCGCTACGTTCATGAGTGAGTGATATATCCGATATTTTTTCTTTTTTTTGTATTTTATATGTTGTATTGTACCCACTTTAATTGTTGAATTTTTGTGTGATAAAAAAGGCCCGTCTAAATTTTATTTTATATGTCTTATTCAAGCAGTGCTTGCACTAATCTTTTATGGTCTGGTTCATTTTTTTTATGTAGTTGTATTGCTATTTTTGTTGCTGATTAGTTTCTGTTGGAGAAGAATTTAAACAATGACAGACAGTGGACTAGACAAAAATTTCGGCAGACATTTACTGGTGAAAGCCGATGAAAAATTTGACAGACGGCTGAAAAAAGCTTTTGGGATAGAGAAATGATCCATCCAGTTACAAAATATTAATATTTCGAGTTACGTAAAAACCAATTTTTCGTCTATGTAACTTTACTAAACCAAAGATGATTTTATTTTCTACAGGGTAGAGTCGAAAAATAAGCGGATTTTAATGGTAATGAAACCCCAAGGAGTAAAAAAATGGGCTACAATGTCAGAGTTATGTAGCAATTTTTGCAAATTTCAGTGTAAATTCTAACTTTCATCACTGAAATTTCACTTTTAATCAAAAGTAATACAATTTCTATGGAATTTCTAGCAGAAAATGAGCATGGATCTCCTTTCAATCGGTTCTAACATCTGGGCGAGGCCAACGGCGGAGAAACTTGATAACAGTTACACAGATGTTCCTACCCAGTTTTGGATGCTAATACTCATTTAGTTAGATATTAGACTGAAACAATGACTTCAATTGAGAGCAAAAATTATGGAAAGTCGTACTGGACCTTAGTTGATTTTTTCACGCATTATAGAGGCTCTGTAAAAGTGAAAAAAAGTCCACTTTATGAACAGTTTTCAGTTCTACAAGCTGCAATAGTCAGATTTCGAGAGGACAGAAGTACAGTTGATAAAAAATTGCTTATTAGTTTCTTACAAGATTTATCCATGGAACTTTTAGCGTTTTTAGTAAATTCATCTATGTAATTCCTAATAAAAGCACTTTAAACTTTTCTAACTGTTAAAATTTGTTCTTTTTAGTGACAAAAATCATTTGAGGAAATGTCACTCAAGAAAATGATTCAATCCTGTAGCTGAATTATTTCAATAAATTTAAGCACTTAATTAATTGATGTTCGAATAAAGCAACTGAATCTCACGCTCAAAGGACTTTCAGCTCGAAATCAGACAACCAGGTGAAACGAATTGAAATTGAGTTCAAGTCATAAGTTCAAGTATATAGGTAAAGGTTCGACACAGATAGGTCGTTGTCTTATATCAAGTCCGTCGGACCTAGCGTGGATCTGATAGAGTCCTGGTAGCAGATCAAAAGTCCTTGACACGACCTGAGTTGCTCAACAAGTTTTCAGTTTTGATCCGAACTAGAAATGTCTTTTTTGTTTTTATTCAAAAATACGATATTATCAGGTATTGATTACTGATCGAAAATTGTGGAACTGTCTGATTTGGATCTCGAAGAACACAAACTTACATCCTAAGGTCTAAGCATGGCTTTAAAGCCACTTTTCCAAGAACAAAAAGAATTTGTTTCAAACTGGCAATCTGCATAAAACTAGAAAAATAATGTGTCCACATCCGCCCCGTTTCGAACTCTAACAGATGACTGTGTTTTTTCATGGGGATTTGGTTCTTCATGTTTGAAATTACTAAAACTTTAACTTGGATTAGTTGTCCTAGGTTACGGAAAACAAAAGGTCCTATAACTTCTGATCACGACGAGTTAAGTACATTTCAATCATAGTCTGGAGTTCTGTCATAGTTGTATACGTATGACGTAAGATGTAGATTCAAATTTTGTACGCAAAGAAGAAACTTGAGTCTGCGATACGAAATATTCTATTCAATGTTGAAAAGTAGACTCGTCTCTTGATTTGGAACAGATGGCGTAGTATTCTAGTGTTCTTCTATGCCAAGATAACTTGTAGCACTCACTCACCATTGGTTTGAAGGATGAAGAAATCAATACGATTAATTATATTAACAACGAACGAAGAAAAAAATGCAATATTGATCATATAAACAACTGAATGATCGATTTCTTTGTTCATAATGACTTTACAGCTATGCAATCTGAAATTATCGTATTTTAATATTCTCTGTAGTTGAATGTATCTCTCACAATGGTTTGTCTCTACTCCATAATATAATAACATTCACCTCAGATGAGCATTTATAAGTATGGGTATGATACAAGGAGAGTAAAATAGCGTTTCACCCTAGGAGCCTTGTTTTTACTCTTTTTAATTTTCAATCTGAAAAAGAATTTGTCATTCTACTTTTTTCCGATGATGAAGGTCATAGCTCTTTTCTTTGTCTGTGTTCTAACTTAGTATGATGGATAAAAGCAGACTAACTAATTTCGCTTAGCTAAGACAGATATAGCTAATTGGCCGTTTAGAAATTGTGACGGTTGCTTCGCGAAAACTTGCAGTACATGGACTGAAAGTGGAGTATTGTTTTAATGGCAGGTGTGGTTGATAATCACTTTGAATTCTCGCTAAGAATGTTGCCTTCGATCCACGATTTTTCACTAATTATGAAGGAAAAATATCGAGTTTATTGCCGTAGAGGGTCTCAATTGCATCATTATGATTTTACTTTCGCAAGAGTTTATTGTCTTTATATTAATTTAGATTATTTGTTGTTTACTTGGTTTTTTAACCATCGATAATGTCAGAATGTTAAATATTCCAAATTCATATTCTTCGTTTCTCGTTAACACATTGAATCATTCACCTCAGCAGAATTCTCATGCATTTTCTCATTATCGTGAAAAAGATGGTTATTTTTCACATGCCACAGCTGGATTACAGAACGGTGATAAAACTGACAACGATGATGATGATGATCAATATTTAACACCTCTTGCCGGTACCGCTTTTTCAGCATTAGTTCCATCATTGATACCACAAAAGTTTTTACGTAAAACATCAGTTGACGATGAAACAGTTACCTATGATGAATTTGGATTTCGAATTGAACCGTATGAAGGAGAAAGTATAGATGAAGAAAATCACCAGAACCATCAAGAAGAACATGAGCCCTTTATTGAAAATGAACAACAAAAATTAAAATGGTTAACCTATTTAGATTCAGTGTATCATCTAGGTAAAAGATACATAACAAGAAAACAATAAATGTTAATGTCTTATAATTTGTCTATTTTAGACGTTGTCAATGGTATTATCGAACAGCAACTACTTCTACTTGAACCACAACAAATTAGACAAGATAATAAAATTCATAAACTCTTATCCGAATCTTCTATGGGCATACCACATTCTCAACGACCTCTTCTATGGATGTGTATAAGTGGATGTTTGAAAAAAAAATATTCAACTAAATTGAGTTATTCAGATATTCTCAAACATTGTAATAATGAGGAACAATTATATTCAAAACAAATTGAAAAAGATCTTTTAAGAACATTACCTTCCAATGTTTGTTTTATGAATATGAATTCAAGTGGAATATCGAGATTAAGAAGAATATTGAGAGCAATTGCATGGCTATTTCCAGGTAAAAAGAAAAAATTATCTTATTTTTTAAATGTTATATTATATTTTTTTCTTTATTTAGATATTGGTTATTGTCAAGGTACAGGTGTTATATGTGCTACATTGTTATTACTCTATGAAGAAGAAGATACATTTTGGATGATGTGTACACTTGTTGAAGATCTTTTACCCGGTCAATATTATTCTGTTTCACTCTTTGGTGTTCAAGTTGATATTCGTGTATTTCGTTATCTAATTCAAATATATTTACCACAAGTTAACGAATTATTTCTTAAACATGATATTGATTTAACACTTATCTGTTTTCAATGGTTTCTCACATTATATTCAAATGTATTTCATATTCGTCTTACTCTAAAAATATGGGATCATTTTTTCTTAAATGGTAATATTGTTTTATTTCAAATTGGTCTTGCATTACTCAGACAACATGAAGATATTTTATTGAAGTTAGATAACAGTGCTCAAATATTTAATTTTTTATGTGAATTACCATCATTATTTGAATTTAATCCACGAACATTAAATGTAGAAACATCACAAGGTTTAACACAACATCAGATTGATACATATAGAACAAAATTTATGGCTGAATTAATGTCAGCTGAAGGTTTTACAATTAATCCAAATGCACAAATCACAAATTTACCGAAAGATATTTTACAACGACGACAAGGTTTAAGAGGTCTGTACAGGTAAGAAACGTTTTTAATTTAGGAATAAAAGTGTTGACTTCATATTGACTTTTTATATAAACAAAATAATTCAATATTATTATTATTATTTTTATTTTTAGACGTTTTACTAATTCACAAACTCAGTCCATTCAATCTTTAGGCGAACGTAATATTCAACAAACAGAAATGTTAGTAAATCTTCGTGATTCCATTTTAAAAATTGCCAAACATTTTAAAGACAACGATATAACAAATTCTTTCACATATGATTTAAATGTTGATTATTCTATTGAATCACATGTTAAAGATCATGAACATTATGCAAATATTTCATTATTAAAATGTAAACGAGCAAAAGCACTACTCGATTTTGAATGTCAAGACTCAAATGAATTAGGTTTTAAAAGGAATGATATTATTAAAATATTATCAATGAATGATGAACATTGTTGGATTGGTGAATTAAATGGTAAACAAGGATGGTTTCCAGCAAAATTTGTACAACTTGTTGATGAACGATCAAAATCTTATTCATTAGCTGGTGATGATTGTGTTGATGAAATGATATCAGATTTAGTAAGAGGAAAATTGGCCACAAATATTAAATTATTATTCGAACATGGATTAAGAAAATCGGCAACCGTACTTGGTAAGATGATGTTAAATTTCTAATATTTTGGTGCTGGATACAAGAAAATTTAAATAAAGTATCTAATTATTTAATTTTTGAATCTTTTCTTGTCTGAAACTTAAAAGTAGTTCGATCGAATTAGAGATTAGTTGTTTTCCTCTATCTATAAAGAATTATAATTACAGTCAACTATAAATTATAAAAATGGGCGAACTTGTCTGCATATAAACCTAAATTGCCTAAACACTGTTTCTAGAGTGTTTAAGATATCTACGAATCAGAACATCTAGTTTGACTAACGGTACCTCATGTTCGATCAAAATTTGATAACGTTATTTGACAAAGTGCTCACACTTTTTTTTCACACATTATTAGTCCATGTGTAAATGAGCTAAATTTATCTTTTAAATAATTGTTCTTTGTGGTGTATACTTAAAAACCTATCGAAGATAATGGATATTTGAATCCAGTATAGGATTGGATTCAATTTGGATCCAACAGACCCTGCAAACAGACCCTGCAAACAGACCCCTCACTAAAGAAATTCTCTGTTCGACACTTTCATTACTCTCTATATTTGGAAAAAATCATAACTTTCTAATGACCGCTAAAAAGAACTCACACTTTTAGTCATCACATTAGCGATCGTATAAAGGCTATAATATTTAAACAATAAGTAGTAATTCAAACTCACTTATATAAGTCATCGATATGTGTGAAATCATGTGATATTTACTTTTACGCCTGCTTACATATGGTGAGAAAATAAAAATTGTCGCTGAAAATATGTCACCTGTGGACAAGTCTAGATCGTAAGAAATAAATTGTTGAATTTAGTAGTAGTTTGCATCTTTTTCAAAAATGACTAAACTTACGTATGGAATAAAACGAATAGTTGGCTTCAATATGCCATCCTAAACAAAACACTACTGGAAGTTGTATACTAATAGAGGTACTTCCGCATAGAGTCGTAATCCCTTTGAATTTGAAGAATTACGTAAGATCTTTTTTTGTAGCCGCTAATCTTTGGTTTTACCTTTCTGTTTTATTAATCTTGTTTCTTTCTAGGTGGTATATGCCATCCTTGGTTATTTATTGAAGAAGCAGTGATGTATACCATTAATAAAGATTTTGATAGTGTTTATGCTCGATTAATATTGTGTAAAACATATCGTCTCGATGAAGATGGACGAATATTGACACCAGAAGAATTATTATGTCGATGTATTCGATCTATTAATTATACTCATAATTTAGCTCATGCTCAAATGGATGTTAAATTTCGTTCATTTATTTGTCTTGGATTAAACGAACAAGTATTACATCTTTGGTTAGAAACATTGTGTTCATGTACAGAAATCATTAATAAATGGTATTTACCTTATTCATTTTTAAGATCACCATGTTGGGTAAGTAAATGAGAGCCTGTTGTAATAATTAACGTTGACATTCTTTCATCTGTTGTTTAGGTTCAAATTAAATGTGATTTACGAGTATTACAACAATTTTCCTTTTCATTACAACAAGATTATGAATTACCACTTGGTTATAAGCAACTTGATGTTTGTTCAAGTGTAACAGACATGTTAATTAAACATCATTTATTTAGTTGGGACTTATAAGCGCTCTTTCTTTTATTGTTATCTTCTATGTGCAATATTCACATCCACGCGCGCGTACATACACACACACACTTTCCTGTCCTTCTTTGTTTTGCTCTCCCGCTCTCTCTTGCCCGTTTCTTATAAAATCAAAAAATACCGATAAATTTATTTATCCACTATATAGATGGGATGTGTGTGTTTTTTATTCTTTCTATTCTTGTATACACAAACAGTGACTATTTTAATTTATTTACTTATTTATTATTATTGTTGTTTTATTGTCGTTGACTTCATTCCACTATACGAAAAACATACAGATGTAGTCGTTGTGAAAATAAAGAATAGAAAAAAAAATAGACAGCTACTACTGGTAATAAATGTTTGTATAGCAAGTAGAAGTTGGCATGAGACGGACATCTTCATTTGCCGACAATTGCTGATTTCGCTGACTGGTTCATAGACAAAAGCGAACATGGACATTTAGTGAAGACTTTAAAACTTTTCTCGGTGAGCTGTTTAAATGAGTGCGATTTTCCATCGGAAAAAAGTCTGTTTTCATACAGAAACTTGACAAAAACACACCAATATAAGCAGTTTTTACTTCGTTTAATACGTTTATTAGCTTAAAACAAATTTCGAATTGTATGTTCACGTCGTTACGAGTATCTCACTCTTCGGAGAGGGAGGAGGGCGGATGGATAATGAGAGTAAGTGAAAAAGTTTAAAATGAAATAGATGAAAATTGATATTAATAACCCTTGCGGGTGTCAGTAAGGAGATCATCTGATATTTAAGCAATTTGTTATGTAGTAAAACTATCTTGATTAATTCTTTAACTTCTTCACTTTATTCAGTAATACATTACTATGCTATTTCATTCACAAAAAAGTTCAGCTATATATACATATCTCCGAACATCCGAGAAAGGGATCTAATGACGTCGGAAGAACTGGCTAGAACATGACATCATTAGTTCATAGCGTACAAGAAGAATAGGAAAGAATGTCATTTCCTACTGGTCAGACTAATGACATCAGTAGAACAAAGAGAAAGGTCACTACAAACATATGACCTTACATATGATGTAAAACGAAGAACAAAACTAAGACACCAAGGACTACTTAACAAACTCAGTCTGCGGAGATCACTTATACAGTCTACCGCAGTGTTAAACTTCTTTGCACTCACGTACTTGGTGAAACTATCGCTCGATTGAGTGTTCATCATGACCCTGAATACGAAAAACTTTCCACTTATTATAAGTTTTTGTTGTATCAATTTTCATATATAAGATTTTCAGCTTTTTCACTCACTCTCACTATCCACCAGCCCCCCTTCCTCCTCAACGACAGAGATACTCGCCAAAATGCTAATATACAATCAGAATCTTGCGAATCAGTAGCTCCTTGGTGACACTCCCGGGGAGCCAATATCTCTAGTTCACACTCCTCAACATTTGCTGGGAGTACCAATAGCTCCTTGTTGACACTCCCTGGGAGTGCCAATAGCCATTCCGAATATATATATATATATATTGGTATGAAGTTTAATGAAAAAAATTCTTCTTATGGCAAAATGAAGCTGTTTTTCAGTCTTCAGTTATTAATTGTATAGATAAGCAGTATACTTTCTCATATCATGTTACAGAAGCATAACAAATTTTATTTTGATAACTTTGTTTTCACACATCTCAAACAAATATCTTGACATTAATTGTAAACAAATCACTAATTAAACTATAGCAAAAACGTCTAGAAGTTCTTTACAAATTTTTGTTTCAGAGATATGAACGCTTCAACGAATATTTTGCGACATGTTTTGTACCGAGATCAGGACCAACTTCGGAACCAAGAATTCGAATTGATGACATTTTTACATCAGTTTCACCGTCTAAAGATCAGATTTTAAAAGCAATAAGCGATCTCAAAAATGATATAGCAGCTGATCCCGACGTCATGTTAGTTTCTTTTCTTAAGGAATGTTCTTTTCAGCTTCTCGATCCTATGCACCATATATTGTCTCTTTCTATATCCAATGGCATTCATCCATTGCTGTGGAATACAGCTATTGTTATTCCAATTCACAAAAAGGGCCCAAAAGCATTGGTTCAGGAGTACCACCCTGTATCCTTGTTTATAATTGGCAAAATTCTCGAACACTACTTGTATCATATTCCTCAGGACTCCATTTTGGGACCTCTGCTGTTTTTGATTTTTATAAACGATCTGCCGATGGTGACTTCGCCACCATCTTTATCCGTTCTGTTCGCTGTTATGCCCTACGAATGTCGTAGGTCCGGTAACCGAGTGCCAGGCTTTTATCGACAAAATTGAGGAGTGGTGTCAACTGAATCCAAGGGGAAAATAGCAGACTGAAATCAGCCCAAAATAAGTCGAAAATCACCCAAAATCAATTGATTTTCACTGATTCTCAGTGATCCTCTGTAATTCTCTGTGATTTTCAATGACTTCCAGTCATTTCCGGTGACTTTTCATTTGGTGAAAATCGACAAAAATCGGTGAAAATCGGAAAAATCCAAAAATCAGCTGTTTCCCCCTTGACTGAATCTCATGCCCCTTAACTATTCTAAATGCGTGTGGATTTACTTCACAAATTTTTTTGGATCATGATTAACGATATTTAATCACGATGAACAGAATTGTGTGTAACCGCACTAATCACGATTAAAAAGATAATCATGATTTAACTCGTGATAGCCATAACTATAAATAATCAATACACAGGAGAAAACACATTTTTGTGTTGCTAAAGTTAACATGAATACAGTAACACTTTTTAATCTGATCAACAGATCTGTTGACACCGGCTACTAATAAATCTTCTTGTACTTTTTTCGGGTGCCATGATTCCGATGATTTGCTATTTCATTCGATATCATTTCCTTTATTAACAAATTTAGTAGCAAGTTTTTTTCGTCCTCAGACCACCAAGATCTTTTTGCCTTCGTTTTATTCTTGTAACTCTGCGTAGTTATTTTTGACAAAAAAAGTTATTATTATAAAATTATCATTAATTATTTATTTATTAAGCTGTAACGGAGTATAGTAATGCCAGAAAAGTTCTTTAGTCGGCAAAACAGAGTTCCGGCTGATTAGTTCTTGCAGTTGAGCAGTCATATACAAGCGCCGCTGTCATGATTCTTTTTTCATAGAAGCGGTTAAAATTATTCAAGATTAAATTTAAGTCGCGATTAAAGATAATCATCTTTCGAACATGATTATCTTTACTCATGATTGTCAAAATAATTGTGATTAAAGTAGCAGTTACACTACTAGTTTAATCGTGATTGTCTATTATCTGCGTAGTGTGACCGTAGTGATACTGTTGTATCTTGTCAAACAGTTAATACTTTCAAGCGAACATTACACGCTCACTTATCCATATAAGTGTGCTATTTTTTGTTGGTTTTCATACTCTCTTGCGATTGTTCTCTTTTTCGCGTGGTGACACTGTATTTACAAGCCTTTGGTTTTTTTGTGCTTTCCTTCGTTACGAAATGTTTTCTCGGGCATAAAATAAACTTTCCAGTTCAAGGTCAAGCTTTCAGGTTTTCAAAATTGCGGAGAGAAAATGTGTTTTTCTAATTTCAACGATTTTATCATTTTTCTGATTTTCAAAAAATTATTTAATCCGTTTTTCCTCAAACAGATTTATATTTAGTACAAAGCGTTGCACCATATATGGAAGATCGTTGATCTATGATCATTGAATGATGTAAAATCGTAAATATCAGAGCATGTATTTGTGATACTCCCAGTAAGCGAACTGGGAATTTATTTCAATGAAATTACATTGTTATATTGAAAATAAAACTGATGGCCACCACAGTTATATGCTCAATAAACATAGATCGTCCAATTGTGGTTGCTATCTAAACACCGTTTTCAGATTGTTTATTTCCAGGTGTAATATCAACTGTTTAGCGCCAAGGTTAACTGTCGAAGAAAAACATGCAAGTCTTCTGAATAAATAAAATGAAATGCCCGTTAAGAATTATTCAAATAAGACTAAAGTGTTAGACGAAGTTGATTTGAACACGAGTGCTAATAGTCATAAATTAATTGCGATTATCTCGCGTTGGAAAAATGAGACCTATTATTTAGTTAAAAATTTAAATCAAATCAAACAAGACAGTTCGAAAAGGATTAGAAGATTGCATCGACATTGTTCGCAATTACAAGACGAAAACAAACATTTAAAATATTTATTGAACAATCAGAAAATATCAGGTCAAGATTTACAGTCTCTCAGATCATTCGACGCAGCGTCCGTTGACGAATCGTTTCAAAAACAAAAGGTACCTTGTTACTAACCACTCTTTAAATGAGATAGAGTACTACTATCCATCCCAAAATATAAGGCAGATAGTTGTTTTTCAAATAACTCAAAGACGACAAAAGATAGAGATCTGCGGTTTTCACCGATCGATAGGGGACACCTCTGTTTTCATAAGCAAAGCCAGTTCTCGAAAAAATTTCTAAATCTGTTTTTTTAGAGGATTTCTGGAAAACCACTTGATAACTAAAAGTTTTACATAGTAATCTATCGATCTTTTCCATAGATAGATAGTCCAACGTATCTTCTTCAAAATGGGAACTAAGAGAACTCTTAATATTTCCTGGTTCAGGCGTGACATAGTCCCAGGATTAATATTTCTTTAGATGTAGTAATTCCGACAACGAATGCAAACATCGAAAATCTATCACACTGAATCCCGTAGCAACATTTGTTTTTCAAAAAAGTTCAAAATCCTAGTGAAAATCTATATTAGGTGAAATAACCCATTTTTACCTATTTTGAGGTAAAATTAAAAAATTCATAACTCAGTCAAGATCCATCGAAATTATGTCAGAATATCAAGATGTACTCTATTTTATCTGCTCAATACGATTTTTTACTTGAGAATGGTGAAAAAGCATTCTTCAACTTCAGAAGATTTCTAGAAAATCTTTTCAAAAACCAAAGTACTCTCTATCGAACACTGAAAACCGCAGATCTCTATCTTTTGTCATATTTGAGTTATTTGAAAAACAACTACCTGCCTTATGTTTTGGAATGGATAGTAGTTAGTGTACTTTCTATTCAATCTTGTGCTTTCAATTCGTCTTTTCAGCACAATCTAGACTTATATAAACCGGCTCTCGATGAAAAATCAATACAAAATGTTAAATTCTCTAATGAACGGGGATGTAGTAGTAAACTCAATATTGATGATAATGATAAAAGATCTATGAATACAGTGTTGAATGATTTAAAATTGATCGTAACAAACAAATGTACAAATTATGTGTGTCAAATATCAATGTTATGTGAATTTTTTGTTAATGCCATAAAAGTGGTGATATGTGAAACACAAAAACAAAATTCGTCAACATCTAACATTATTGGATCTTTGAATTCAAATGTAAGTGAATTAGCTCAATTGTTAAAACAAATGAATAATGAATGTAGTAAAGAATTGAGTAAATTTAAAGAACAGAAAAATATAATGACAACTACCATATTAAAAGACAATTATTCACAAGATTTATATTCAATTGATGATGGTAATGATGATCATACACTAAACAAATATAAAACTAATAGCATTCATCCTTAAATTAGAAAACAGTATCTTCTTTTGATGTTGACTCTATGAAAAGAATGAACTAAAATTCTGTAGATTTTCTTATAGCTAGTTTTAGTCAAGTAGTATAATATTTGTATGGATAAGGAAGGAAACTTTGTAAAAATCCCTCAATATTCACTAAAAATTAGCTATAAAAAATAGAACACAAGCACCACTTATGATGCTATATTTTTGCTTGACTATCTTTACTTTACTTTTTTTGAGGCTATTTATGAGTTTGTTGATCATAAATCGTATGGCCTGTTAATATATTCATCATCATAAATCATGATGTGTTTCAATCTAAGAATAACAAATCATGATTTTATTTCTTCTGTCAATACACATAAATTTTTCCATTTTCTATGAGACTTAGCAAATGAAATTAACGACGAATCTGTCTGATTTTCAACATTTATTAAAAAAGTAAAAGACTCGTATTCGTATTAAACACTTCTACCAAGAACGATCAATTGTGGGGCAAGTTATTATAAGAATGATCATAGTATGAATAAAATAATGTTAAAATATGTATTGAACTTTGCATGAGTAACATCTAATAGACAATAAAGATACCGGAAAATTGAAAGAACAGAAAACCGTTTGGTGGTACCATTGATGGTATACCACATAAATTGCGTTATTGATGATACCTTGAACAACACAAACGCAGTAAAACTGTGAATCTACCAGTGGATTTTATGTTCTTCTCTTTTGTTTTATTTAAAAAAGTATTTGAATGCAAACAGCTTGAAACTGGCTCAAACAACTGGGAAAATTGTCTGTCTATTCAAAACACATCGATAGCATTAGCTGTTATTCTGGTCCTTCGTGGAATTCATTTTGGATTTTTTAAAACCCATGGTTTCTCAGATAAAATCGTTTTTTTCCAGCTAGAAAGCATTTTTTCTGGAAAAAAAACATATTTAGAATCTTCTCATTCAATTGCATTGAATCATGAAAAAGTAATAGGTTTTTTTTGGAAAAAATGAAAAACGTATGATAAATTTTCTGTTTGTTTTGAGTTTCAGAACATGAGTCATCTTTGCCCGAACAGATAACAATCCCCGTTATAAACGATCTCTCGAATAACATATTTGCTTTCGTCACTTATAATGGGTATTGACACCACTTATCTATGCGATGACATTCGACATTTCTAACAACTGGAATATATCGTATCTGATAATGACAATGAGCGTATAAAGATATTTTTATTTTGAATTTCTTTTTCGCTGATAAAAAGACGTCTGAATAATCAATCCATAAACATCGGCTTTTTAGTTTTTCTCTATTGAGATACATTTTCAAAAAATTAGTTTCTCTCTAGTGCGTTGGTTAACTTTAGTTTGAGACCATCTAGATCCCATTAGAACTTAAATTAGCAAAAACTTTTCTTGTGATTTCCCAATATCCATATTTTCAAAAGGACTCATGACTTGAATAATAATTTATTTGTTTATTTTAATTATTCAGATCAAAGAATCGTACTATAAGATCTTATAAGATTCTGTAAGAAACATCGAAACTGATTCTTGATGTAAGATCTTATAGTGAGATTTCATCAGATTTTATAAGATTCTTAGATGATTTTTATAAGATTTTATAAAATGAATCCCTTTCTATGATATTTCGTAAGATTTTATAAGATCTTGATCTGATTTGTTGATCTGCGTAAGCCTTTAACATATGATATTCATGATCTGCGTACCTTTTCACGCTATTCATGTGATTTTCGGGTTTTCTAACAGAGATTTTGGCTGAGATTTTCACCTGAGAACTATTTCAGGTATTTCTGCCAATTTTTCGGTAACTCATTTTGTTGGGAAAGTGAGAAATCATATGAATACCATAAATTGATATCGCGATCCTGAATTTGTCATATGTTAGACGCTTAATCCCTCTGATATCTTTTCTGTCCACATACCGTTCTGATGTGCACGTCTGGAATCTTATCTACCCTAGTCCCGTCACAGGGCCTCGTCGGGAGTCCCAGTAAAATCCCGAAAAATGTAAACAAAATTGAAAAATGTCCCGACAGGATCCCGTGGCGGGAGTTCCTATAAGATCTTCGCAACGAAAAATCGTAGACAGCTCGGAAACGTCTTAAATTAAAATTTTCAACTCTTTTCTGCATTTTGAGATCTCTTGGGACTCTAGAAAATCTATCCTCAAAAAGTTATGATTAAAACGCCGCTAGCTATATTTCGATTTATTTTTTAGAAAAGTGGATTTCGCCGTTTTAATCATAACTATTTGAGGTTACATTTTCTAGAGTCCGAAGAGATCTCAAAATGCAGAAAAGAGTTGAATATTTAATTTAAGACGTTTGCGAGCTATCTATGATTCCACTATGTTTTACTCGAAATTTTCGTCGAGAACATAGTGCAATCAAATTTTAATGCGTTCGTCGAGCAGACAATGCTCTTGTCATGTTATAATCTCGTCTGAAAAGGAAAAATCAGTATGAATACAGAGGCAGGTAGTAAATTTAGAGGATGTACACAGCAAATTCAGTTCTCTGTTTCCTTACCGAAATAGGACTCATTTTCGCTAGTCACAATGTTACACTATCGGATTTTTGGACAAGTTTTCTTTTGAGACACATCTCTTTCACGGATTAACTAAGCCCGTATATGTCACAAAGAAGAAAGAAAAACAACTTTTGATATAAAAGAGTCGCTTAAAAGGAATGTTTCTTATGATAGCTGAGACACTGATTTCATCATGTTTTACCCGGTTTTCTCTTCGGGAACATAATGCAATCAGGGTCAATCATTCACCTCAGACTCACTTTGAAGTTGAGATCAAACTTGTACTCAGCAGTTTTATTAACACGCCCTCTCTTTGTTCTACTTGTCATAAGAACCATATGAATAGTTTTTTCTCATGTATGTCTTAATTATGGTTTGCCATATAACTGGCATTTGATCGCAGAATAAAAGTGAGAGTGGTTAAATGTTTTATAGCTTGCCTGTGAGTTTACCGTAAGGTAACGTTTACCATATGTGAAGAAAACATTCACGCTTGGACTTTCAGAGAATGTACATCCGTAGATATTATCGCTAGGATCAGTTGGTTATTAGAGCCAATCTAATATTCTGCGAATGAGGCGGAATGGCTGAGTCCCAATCCTCCGTGCATCAAACAGAACCGAACTGGTCATCGCTACATTCTGAGAGTCACTAACGGCAAAGCGATCTTACACCGAGGATACTCACAATTATTATAGCATCAACCTTTCATGCATTTCTCACTTCTGTGCAGTTTTATTTGTGAGATCTTTACACGGCAAACATTAACTGAGTCTATACATTCAGAAATCTCCTAGATTTTGTGCATTTCATGAGAAAGAAGAACTATTTTTGATACCAAAAATGAATGAAAAATTGCAACTGTGCGACACTAAATAGAAAGGATTTTATATATCCCTATTCTCTCACTGCAACTGCTGTGTACTTAGTCGGTAAATTGGTTATTTTAGTTCTACTTAAAAAAAGTTCAAAAAGCAGATATAAACTGCAAAAAGTTCGAGTATAAAAGTAGTCTACTTTAATAAATAAAGTGCCTTATATAACAGGCACTGTTTTTCATCTCGTTTAAAATGAGAAAAAACGTTAGTATCGTCAAACATACACGTGGCGTATGATATCCTATAGATATATATATATATAGATACGTTATAGGAAGCATGTTTCTTCGTTTGAAGAAAAGTATTAGAAAAGGACAGGTTGCTCCACGTGGTTATCCACGCGATATAAACGTATATATATAAGGCATTTTATTTCTTAAAAGTAGACTACTTTTATACTCGAACCTTTTGCAGTTTATATCTGCTTTTTGAATCTTTTTAAGTAGACCTAAAGTGAGTCTGAGGTGAATGATTGACCCTGATTGCATTATGTTCCCGAAGAGAAAACCGGGTAAAACATGATGAAATCAGTGTCTCAGCTATCATAAGAAACATCCCTTTTAAGCGACTCTTTTATATCAAAAGTTGTTATTGCACAGATTTTCTGCCAACAAGTGGAATAGATTTTCAAGTTCGAACAATTAATCTGGATGATAAACAGATGAAATTAGTTTTTTCGGATA